ACAAATAAAATAGGAGTTGTATAGAGTTCGTTTATCCAATTAGTGAGTTGTATTTTGAACAAAGGCCATTGATCTTTAATTGAAAAAATGTATGTGGAATATGTGACTTTTCCGAAAAGTTAATTGTGCATGAGTGCATGTGATTTGTTGCAATGTATGTGATGATGTAAAGGATGAATATGATGCATTAAGTGAGCATCGAAGCATGATATTAAGGTATGATCATTGAGGTAAAAACAAGAATGGATCATGGCATTTAGGTATGCTTTCCTTTAGCCTTGGCATGTACATCATATTTGAATGTTTAGTCATTCATTGGGCTTTATAGCTCACACTCGTTATTTAATATTTTTCAGATTTTTACTTTTCGACTCGAAAACTTTAGGGGCAAGGCATTTGGTTGTGATCAAACCAATGGAGCTTTTGTAAAATTATTTTGAATCTTGGTTTTATTTTGAGGAAATATGGGATCCTTAATTGAGCTTTAAGTTGATTTGTTCTTATGACCCTTGCTAGTGCATAAGTGATCTATAGTGACTTATATTGTAACATCCTCAATACCAGGTTAGTGACTAAATTATAAAGTCTCAAAATTTGGTGGTTAAAATAAAATGAATGAATAATATAAAGATTTATATATAAATTATTGTGTAGGATGGAATTGAAAGGAAGAAGGAATGGAAGGACAATAGAGTAATTGCAAGGAAAAATAATTAAAGAAAGGATAAGTATATATATAAGGATACACGTGGGTGGAAGGGGAGAAAACACCCAAGACTTCCAGAGTTCTCTTCTTCTTCTTTCTTCCTTGTGCGTGTGAACCAAAACAAAGGTAAGATTTCTGATTATTGAGTTTATTGTTAAATTTAATATTGGGTTTTGATTATTAGATGATAACTAAGCGTAAGGAAAGCTTAAGTTATCTTAATATCAAAGGATGATTGAGTTAGAAGAGATTTAAGATTTGAAGTTCTTAAATGAAATCTTGAGTATAGTTCATAACTAGAATTGAAAGTTAAATTTGACTTGTCATCAATCTAGTTAAGATATACGAAGTGTTAGAAGTGGAATTCAAACATGTTGATTTATTAATGTAATTCTTGAATTACATATGAAAGATAGAATTTGGAGGTTTAAGATGAAATAAATGAGTATAAATTGGTTTAAGGATGTGTACTATAGTTAAGAATGTAAAAGAGGATTAAACATGAAGGATTTAATCCAAAATGAATGAATTTTCGGGTTCAAAAAGAGGATTCTGGGCAGAGTGCATCGATGCATATTCATAGTGCATCGATGCATCAAGGTTAAAACCCAGAAAGTGTTTGAAGGTGTATCGATGCACAAGTAGTGCATCGATGCACTCTTTTAAAATAAAAAGATCGAATGCAATTAGTGCATCGATGCATCCCATTAATAATAAAACATCGAATGCATTTTATGCACCGATGCACAAGTAGTGCATCGATGCATACCTTCATTAAAATAGGAAATTTGCATTTATCTTAATCTAAAGAGTGAACCATTAGAGTATTTTAGCTATAATACTGATATAGATCCATGTGTGATTATGTAAATACTAAAAGTAAGCTTATTCCGGATTGATCAAAGGATTAGAATCGAATCAAAGCAAAGCTAAGGTGAGTGCATACTATATGTATAGTATAATGGAATAAGACTTGTGATAAGTCTAATTCCTATATTGATTTTCATAGTACAGTAGTTGTGAACATGCATACATGATAATTATTGTAATACATGCATAAGGCATATATATGTTCATGTGATTGGATAAATGATGTATATATATATGAATAGATTCAAATACACATGTGATATGATATGTGATATGAAAACATGACATGAGCTACATGATCACAAGAGAAATGACATGAGCTATATGATCACAAGAGAAATGACATGAACTACATGATCACAAGAGAAATGACATGAGTACATGAACATATGAAATATAAGAATAATGCCCATAATATACGATATGAGAGCTATAGGTGTAATTGGCATGCCAAGAGTCGAGGGTATAATAGTCCTTCGGGATGTAGTGGTCCTTCGGGATGTAGTGGTCCTACGGGACATAAGGGTCCTACGGGACATATATGACAGTCCTTCGGGATGAATACTGAACTAAGGTTCGGTGCCCCATGAGGGAATTGATACGAGCTGTGGTGACAGCATTAGTGCAAAACCTCTATGTACTCACATACCTCTATTCTCAATAATATACATAGGCAATTGAAATATAAAGTAAAGTGAAAGTGGTACAAGAAGGTAAGTCTTGTACATGCATGATATGATTATATATGTTATTGTGTAATAGATACATGCATATTGAAATGTCATGAAGGAAATGGTAAGAATGCATATTCATGAAGATTTTGTTGCATATTCATTTATTGCCTCACTAAGTCTATGACTTAGCGTGTAAGTGATTTACACGTAGGTACCGAGAAATAAGAAGATTCAGAATAGCAGTGGCACGGACAACAACATTACTAAGAAATCAGATCAGAAGTAATTGACAAAGTAGGTATTTTGTTGTGTATAAAGTGTTGGTATGTAATAAGTGGTTAATTAAGAATGCTCTGATCGATTTTGTATTAAGTGGTCTCTTTTATGTAAATTAAAGTATTTTGTTTTAATGAAAGTTTTAAATTCCCGGGATTTTTCTTTAAGAATCAAAGTTTGAAAAGTTAATGTGACATCTCGGGCTTGTATTCGGGTCGAATATGAGTTAGGGGTGTTACATATATTATGCTTTGACTCTTGAATGAATAATGAAATGATGAGTTTTATGTTGGATTACATGTTGTGCCCTATAACTAAGTATATCTAGGTTTGTCAAAGTATGATTTATGCCTTAAATATATGTTTTGATCACCTAGACAAGTTATAATAGGATGACATAATATGTGAGACTCTTAGGAAGTATCAAACGATTAATAATGCACAAAATGGATAAGCGATTTGTATTTAAGTTAAATTTATATGCAATATTTGACTTTGGATGCTAAATACTTGTATGTTATGTGAAATGATGTTAAGAAGCACGTTACATATGTATTACGACATGTTTTAAGTGGTTTAAGGGTGTCCAAGCATGTTCGTAGACCCTAGGATCGATTGCATGATCTATTGGATTCATGTTCATGTACATTACTATGAAACTTACGCATTTTTCATAAAAAACTATCAATCCCTTGCTCAAAAGGATCGATCCCTTAAGGTAAAGGATTGATCCTTTCTCCAAAGGATCAATCCAAAACTCACTGTTATGTAAAGGATCGATCCCCCGTGAAAAGAGATCGATCCCTTCGTTGTTTGGTCGATGAAAATTGGTAAAATTACATTCATTAAATACCTAAAGAGTTCCCTAAGTCCTTGGATGGTCCCTAAACTTTAAAATGTATTCAATTTGGTCCTGAAACATGATTTTGTAATTAAATCTTGGTTTCAACTCGGATTTTTTTAAAATTTATTCTATGACTCTATAATGATAATAATTTAATATTGTAACCTTTAAATTCATATTTTTGGTTTATTTTCATATTTTGAAACGTTTGCATTTTAGTACCTAAGTTGAGCACGTTCAAGTAGGTCCATGTTTGACATTCGATTAACCTGAAAATTTGCATGACACTAATTAATGGGCAATAATAAATATTGGGAACTTTAAAATAAGAAATTGACTTGAACAACCATGTAGTGTGAAATGTCCAAATTACTCGTGCATTGTGAATGACGTTTATCTTCGAGATATTTGATCGTGTAAATATTGTGATTGATATTCTTGCTAGTTACTGCCACGTGTTGAGTGATGCATGTTTTAAATTTAAATTGCTTTTACTTATCACACATGTTTATGGTTTTATGTTCTGTCCAACATGATTGGAATCTAATGTATACTTAGGTATCCGGGTTAATCTTTGTAATTGGGTATGGGGTGTTACAAATCATGCCAGCGACAAAATGATATCTATTCTGATAGTTGCTGTAACATAAATATTTGCTGCTAAATGTTATATATTGTCGCTGGATAACTTGCTCTTGGTTACAATACATTTAAGCTTTGACACATGCTTTTTCTTGTAATAAAATTTGATTATATTCTCATAATATATTTGTTCGGAAACTTATTTGTTAATTTATCTATTTTGGAGCAAAGGTTGTTGTTATGCCAAAGCTTGTTTACTTTATATGAGGATTCTATATTGGAAGATCTGGTGATAACTTTAGCAGATGGGATAGCAAGCACTTATTTGGAGCTTATTTCTGTTGATGGCAATTTACTGGATGAAGTGGATGATCTAGATTTAGCCATCTGTGACATATCTACTCGTGCACTCCAAAAGTTGCGTAATGAGGTATGGCTGTTTTTCTTAGCGAGTTTAATGGTAGCACCTGTTGGTCTTCAACTCCTAATTGTGTTCATGAACATATTTACCACTTCTGATTTTCTATAAGTAAAATAATGAGGTTTTTGCTGTGAGATTTGATGGGTGGAGTGATTGAGCATATTAGGCATGTTGACTTAGTGCAAACACTATGCAGGCCTGTGAGATTGCTTATTCATCAAGACCTTTGATCCTTTTTTTCTTGTCCTTGCCTCCTTTGCATGTTATTTCAAGCTCCTCATAGATACATATCTGTAAAACTATTTCATTTCTTGTCTATGAATATCATGTTCTAATTATAAAGCTAGCATAACATATTTCTAAATTTGGGAACACTTCAATAGTGTCTATTTCTGCTCTCATTTCAGATCAGTGATGTGGTGAGGTGGGAATTGTTTCTCATATTTGAAAGACTAAGAATTTCATAAAGCTTTCATGTGATATTGGTGCATGCCATTAATGTCTATAGTTATTGAGTGAAATATTACGGATATGTTTGGTTAATGAGATGATAAGGATATATTTCATCAGGATTTTAAAGCATGTGCCTGTTAACAGGTGGCTTTAAACCAGTGGTTGTACCAAAATATGGAGGCAATTGTATCAATGTATGAGGATCGATTTAACCTCTACATGCTTAAGAGCCAACTCATTGAGGAAAACAGTAGTGATTATGCTGAAACATATAGTTGGTGGAAGAAACTTATTCTAAGAAAATATGGAAGTGTGCCTACTTCATCGCAGTATGTTGTGATAAGCTATTTCTCTATGTCTATAAAACGCACCAAGGAATTAAGAGCCCTGACAAGGTGGCATGTTTCCCACAACCTTTCTCCTATAAATATTTTCTTTGCTTGCATTCATTGTCATTAATGGAACTTTAGTGGATTTAGACTATCTGGGAATAACACTGAAATTGGTTAGATACTTGGATATAAAGAAACACTATGGCACTTGAGCTCATATTGTTGTCTTTTTCAATTTTTGTGGCTTGGATATGCCCTTATATATTTGTCCCAGAGAACTTAAAGATTAGCTCTACCGCAATGGATTCATGCTTGAAGATCTTTTATTCTCTCAGATAGTGTGAGAAATTATAGAAATTGTGAAACCAAACATGCTTTGGTGGAGTGGATATATTCATGATGTGGATAAAAAATATTTTCGGAAATGGTGATTTCATTATTCACTATTAATACTTGGCCTCTTAGGTAGTGCTGTTTGAGAAAAGTTCGTGATTGATTAGGACAACTGCAGTAGGATGGCACAAAATAACGATTGTTTTTTTATGGTGGCAAGAAATATTTAATATGCAAATATAATCGTAGTGATTGGTTAAATATTCATATAAAGGTTAAGGAAATCAATATTTCTACATTTAGAGCCAACTGAATGCCATGAATTCGTATTTGTGATCTAGCCACATTTATAAAGTTGATTATAGTTTTTACTTTTTAGTCTAATCTTCGCTTTGCATATTGCAGGAGGTACTATTTCAGCCTGTTTCTCGAGTTCTATGACATTAGCTTGCCCATGGTTAGATTTGTCATCGACAAAGTTAGCAATGCAATCTCATTTTTTCTAGTTTGCTTGATTGGGAGGTCATTAGGACTCATCTATACGGGAATTAGGCAGTCCCTCAGATGAAAGTGAGATGTAAATGGTACCTTAACTTTTTGTTCATCACAAATTTATATTATAGTCATTTTTGCGTGTTGTATCATCTGTCTAGAGGAATGTGATCTGCACATCGTTACTCGCGAAGTTTTTTTTTCCGGCCTCTTGCAGCTCGATGTTTCTCTAAATCCTTTGGTCAATAAATTTTGAGAAGCTGATTTAGTTCTATGTTAAGAACATTTTTGTGGCTGACGTGTGATTTTATCCAGATGGGTTCATTTCCATCTATTGTGGAATTTGCCTTTTTGTTCACCTCTCCTCTCCTTTATCTTATGTCCTTGCGGCTTGTGGATAGAAAGTACACCAGATTTAGAATCATGTGCATGTGAAGTGAGTTGTGTCTGTATTTGTGTTTGAAAACCCAAGGATGTGATAACCACCTCGATAAGTGATTTTGCTGAAGATACAGGTTGAAAAGAAATATAATTTAACTAATTATTTTAATATTTCTAATCTCATCATTGTTTCTTGAATCTTGATTGATTGACTCCGATTCTGCATGTGTGTTGGGGACGCGGTCATGTGAAAGTGACTAATGCTTTTGAAATGATTGGCAATAGTTGAAAAAGTACATTTCAGAAGATAATTTCGTTTGCTAACTTCTTATTATACATCAATTAATTCAATGTGTCCGGTGGATTCAGCTTCCCCTCTCTTACTTACATCTGAGAAAAACAAAGGTTAGTGAGCTCTACTTGCTCAATTAAAGATGAGAATGAATTCACTATCCGTTGGAAGTTTAATTGAAGAGAATCTTTTTCATTCGCTGATAAATTTGCCTCGTTGTATATGTCAATAACATCTTGACCCCATTTTTGATGTATTTTCATTTTCTTCTTTCCTTGGTTATTCGCCTGGAAGAGTTTTAATGTTCCAACATCATTGACTTTTGCCACCCTTTTCTTGCTTGCATGGTAATGGCTGGCATCTCATCCCTTGAACTCCCCTTGATTATGATGATGTAAATATTTCCCAGCTTTCTACCCATATACTACCAAATATGATGCATTTATGGAGTTGATTTTAGTTTATTTTTTTTTCCGTATCCTCTCTAAAATTATCGCTTTATTTAATCTAAACACTAGATATTATACTTAGTAGTATCGAGACAGAATAAATAAATAAATAAGATTTTGATCCATCATTCATGCCTGATGCCCTTTGCTTTGTTTTCCCTGATTGGTCTGGTCTTTTCACTTTTTTTTTTGCTTTTTAGGGTTTCCAAAATTACAAATGCTACTTTTGTTGTTTCAGACAAAACACTGTTTTGAAGGTCTTTGCCATCACCCTATTTTAAGTTTTTAGCTTAATGAACTGATTAGAGTTCCGCTCTTGCTGTTGTAGTATCTAATCCGGATTAATCGATTAATAAATAAAAAATCAATAGTTGTATTAAAAAAATGTTTCGAAAATAAACTAGGAAGGAAAACAAGCAACGAAGAAGAATATACATATTTTTTTCACTCTCGAGTCCACTCAATAAATTCCTCTACATAATATTCTGATTTGGTGATCGGTGACTTTATGCAATCCTTATTAAATTTCATAAACTTAATGCATCTTCCATATAAACTTCCCCTCTAATTTATACAGAGTTTCAAAACTTACTTTGTATTCACTTTTAGTGAAGCTTCTTCTCTTTTTCCCCTTGCTTTTCTTTCTCTGATTTCCATAGATTTGGGTTTCTTTTCCTTTTCTCTCCCCTCCCCCTTGCTATCTGGTTGATGGATATTGAACCCTTGTGAACTCTTGTAGGGGTGCTTCATGTGTACATGGAAGCATTAAGTAAACCTCCACCACCACACTCAAAAACTCAGTTTCTCCTCATCCTTCTCACTCTTTTCTTCATATTTCTTATCCTCAACCCTACTATAAACCCATCAGCTCACACCAGGCGGCTCCTCTTAGATGCTCCCCCGAAATTCACTTCTTCTACCATGAACATCCACCAAACCCCAAAACCTCACGCTTCACGTAGAGAGTTTGGACCTGAAGGCCACGAAATTCCAAGCGGTCCAAACCCTATTTCCGATAGGTAATGGGTGTCGTTTGTGGAAGACACCAAACCATATATGCTTGTTGAAGATAGCGTCGTGCAAAGGGTTGATGTTAATTTGGACGATATATCTTCGTGACTACTGTTCAGTTCCTCCATTGATATACTTCAAGTCTTCTCCGAGAAGGGCTTGTTACCTCGTTTGTCATCGTCATGATCATGGGCATTACTTTGTGTAAATATTTTTAGTAACTACGTCTGTAGTCACCTAACTACCACTTTATTTTCGTTTCGGTCATTACTTGTTAATTGTTTTTAAAATCATATCCAACTTACATTTTGCTAAAAAATTAAAGGTAATTTTGACGTGTTACCATAAGATAATTTCATGTCATCATTGGAAAAAATAAAAAATTATGACAACAATAGTTCTATTTATTTTTTAATGTTGGGTTACCAAAACATAATATTAGATATGATTTTGAAGAAAAAGATAGTTAGTTATCAAAATGGAACCAAAGTGATAATTGAGTGGCTAAATACACAGTTTACCTTTATTTTCATTTGTTTCTTTTTTTCATTTATAGAAACGTATTTAAAGAGAGATACTGTATGTTTTTCAAACACGCACGCAATCTATTTGTTTACTTATTTACTTTACACTATGATTTCTTTCTATAATACGTTCTCTAATTTTATTTTATTTTTGATAAAAATTCGTTAATTTTATTAAAAATATAAAATATTTAAAATTATAATAAAGATTTACAAGTATAATCGTAAATTTAAAATATAATTATGATATTTTTCTATTATTATTGTGATAAAAACTAGCCGCCTAGATCACATAAAGACTAAAGAAATAAAAGATTAAAAAATCTAACAAAAAAAACTCGAATAAAATAAAAATACGTATAAATCTGACTGCATCGGTGAACGAACTAGAAAAGGAGATGAAACTATTGAAATACCACTGATAAACCACAAATCAGAGTCAAGCGACGTGAGAAAACTATCCACGAACGCAAAACGGGTATCCAAATCAATCTGAATGTCCAAAGCAGGGAAGATTATCATGATAACAAATAAGTATCATCTTGATTAGTCGTGACAATGTCAAATCCAACAATGAGAAAAAAGATAAACAAAAATAACGGCAAAAAACCGTAAACAACAACAAAAAATTGTAAGTTACCAAATTGCATAGAAAAACATATCACAAAAACAAATATAAATGTAACATAAAGACATAAAACATGTTATAAAGACATAATTATTCTTATTAAAAATTTTAAAAAATAAAGAAAAAAATAACTGATAGGCGACAACTAACATTAAAATTGATATCGTCGTCGATTAAATAAAATTAAAAAAAAAAGTTAGATTGATCAATAAAATAACATAAATTATAAAGAAAAAAAAGGGAAAAGCAAGGATGATAAAGAAAGCGTACATTTTTTTTATTAATTGAGTTATATTTAGATTTTTTTATTTTAAGAAAAATTGTTAGTTTAAAATTGAACTCATGTAAGCATCCGGGGATGAAGGTACATACTACGTATGTGCTTGGGGCACCCCCATCAAATTACTTTTTTTATTGTTAATAGTGTGTTTGGTTCATAGAATGTAGTATTATCTTCAAGAATAGAATTATCGAAATGTAATATTATCTAACATATTACTGGGAATATTGTATTGTTGTGTTTGGTTCGTTTAGCAGGAATGTAATATTACAGTGTTTGATTAAAAGAATAAAAGATTATTTGAATATATATTTTATTAAATTATTCTTATTATATATTTGTTTTTAACAAGTTGAATTCTAAATATTCAAATGAAAATATTTGTATAAAAGATCATAGAAAATATATAATTTTACTATTTTTAATTTATATATTTGCTTTAAAAAATATAAATTCATAAAATTTATATATATTTTTTTACAAAATTTAAAAGATAAATAGGTTTAATGAAAGGGTTTAATTTTATTTTATCCCTTGAACTTCATATAAAATTCTAATTATGGACTTTTTTGTAAACCTAAAATAGTTTAAGGATAAATTTATAATTTAACCTTCGTAGAATTTTTTTTATTCGACGACAGAAGAATAATATTTTTGAAAAAAAATTATTTTAAGGGCATTTTAGTCCAAAATGCCGGGAAATGACAAATACCTAATAGTGCGTTTGGTTCACAGAATGTAAGATTACCAGTGGGAATAGAATTACCGGCGGGAATAAGATTACTGAGAATGTTGTATTTTGTGTTTGGTTCGTTTAGCAGGAATGTAAGATTAGAGTGTTTGGTTAAAAGAATAAAAGATTATTAGAATGTATATTTTATCAAATTGTCCTTATTATATATTTGTTTTTTTAACAAGTTGAATTATACTATAATATTACTATAATTAATTTATATATTTTCTTTAAAAAATTTAAATTCATAAAATTTATATATTTTTTTTCTTTAAAAAATTTAAATTCATAAAATTTATATATATTTTTTTACAAAATTGAAAAGATAAATAGGTTTAATGAAAGGGTAAAATTTTATTTTAACTCTGAACTTCATATAAAATTCTAATTATGGACATTTTTTGTAAATCTAAAATAGTTTAAGGATAAATTTGTAATTTAACCTTCGTAGAATTTTTTTATTCAACGAAAGAATAAGGATATTTTTGAATTTTTAAGTGCATTTTAATCCAAAACGCCGATAATCCAACAATACCTAAGAGAAGAGGTATTCACATTCCCGGTAATATCCCCAAAATACCACTGTTAGTAATAAAAGATTACCGGGAATAGGATTACTGACCAACCAAATAGGGAAATGACATTTCATTCCCCGATAATCTAATATGACGTGATCCAAACACGCCCTAAAGAGTAATGGAAGAGTTACCTATTTTTAAATTTTAATTTATTTTGATTTTTCTTTCTATTTTTTATCATTAACGAATAATGGGACAATTATCTATTTAGGTTTTTAAATTTTAATTTATTTTATTTTACCCCATAATTTTCTATTGTTAGTTACTTTCTCTCTCTTGAACTAAAATTCTAGCTCAGTCCCTCAAAGCATCCAATGTTCTAATGTATAATCTAATTTCAAAAAATTTAAAGCTACACCTCCCATATCAAGTTAGAACATAACTTTCAAACTATTCATCCATACATGCTCACAAATTCAAAAGCCTGTCAAGTGTTCATGCAAAGCACACAAAACCCAAAATTTAAAATTTTCACACTTAAAATGAAGAAAAATATGCAAAGATATAGCATGAACTATTTCCTACTTGAATTAATAATATTCTTAATCAGGGTTGGACCTATGATTTTATCTTAGGTAACAAATTAAAATCTTTTAGTGGTAAAATAAAAAAAAATAAGATTGAAAAATATATAAAATACCTTTAAATTATATATAAATTTAAATTTTTTGAAAGAATGACTACTTCTAATTATGCTTCCAATTGTTCAGAGAAAGAGTCGAGGAAAAGAAAATTTCACAATTTAAAATTATTTTTATATTAATTTAATATCAAATTACAACTTAATTAATTAAATTAAAAAAATCGTTCCAAATTTAAAACATTGATGAAGGGCATCACTCGCACAAATCGAGTTTTCAAAATTTGCAATATTCATCATTTATTTAGTTTTGAACAATATTATCATCATTTATTATTAAAACTATAAATATGAATTAACCTGACCCTTACACTGTTTCGGATGGCAAACGGATACCTTAAACCCTACCTGGACTCTGAAAACCCTCATTCAACTTCAAATTTCTAGTCGCAGGCAAAAAAGGGGAGACATGCGTCCTCAACTCGTTTAATCCCAAAATCCCATTTTATTTTCCTGTAATTTTTTTCTTAGAAAATGTCTTTGAGACATCGTCATATCAGAAAATTTTCAAGATTTTTGTCCCATTTTTCCTCAGGTCTTTTATAGTTTGCCCTTTCCCAGAATCATTTTTCCCCAATCTATTATATGTTGAATTACTTTATTTTCTCTCTCTCAAATTCAGGTTATCATTATCAGTCGTCTAGACGATCACTCAACTCGGTAGCTTCCTCATCGAGTCATTTGTTTCAGCATTGCAATGGAATTAACATTAGATTTTCCGAGAGGTTTTCAGGAAACCCGTTTGGAAAAATATTAAAGTTTCATAACTTATGTTCTTGATGTAACGTAAGTTTCAGCATTTGGGTGAGTTTCACTCTCCTAATTTACCAAATACAGTCTCTTTCAGACACTCAACAATCTCACAACAATCATGTTTCTCTCCTTCTGAAACCCATTTTTTGTCTTTCATCAAATCTGCTTTTGGTCAGTTCCAAGGTATTCAAATCTACTACCCTTTTTTCTGTTACTTTGAATAGATGTTAATTAGCTAATATAACGTCTTTTATTTAGCTCATAATCATTTTTGGTTGAATAAAGTTGACGAAAACAAAGATTTTTAAAGAAAGACTGTACGGTTTTAGTGGTTTTTAGAAGGTTCTTTGAGAATTCAGAGAAAGTAGGATGTCATTCGGATGTTATATTTGAAAAAGTGAAGTTCCTTCAGCAGAGGTAGAGAGATAGTGGATATTTGTTTCTCTTAGCTTCTTGAATACTTTGTTTTTGTTTTTTGTCTGAGGAAAAAAGTTAATGTTTTGCTATTGTAGGTTCCCTTCAATAGAGGTTATTGGTTTCCAGGACCGCAGTACAGTTTGCTCTACTGATGATCGAAGTCAACTTATTCAATTGATAATGGAAGAATACATTACTTTTCCTGTTTTGTTGACAAACAAAAACTTTTCTAAGGTACAATTTTGAAATGAAGCTATATAAGACTACATGGCTGCAAAGCCATACATCCCCATGAATGAAATTTGTCATAAACTAGAGAGAGTTGCATTTTACTTCAAAACATGTTCTCACAATTAAGTTATGCCATCAAGTATGATCCCCTCAGCTTTCAGAATGAACCAGTGAGATGTTGTTCTTCTGTGTTCTGTTAGCATTCAATATAGCCCAATCTTAGCTTATAGAATACCATTTTCTTCTAATTCCTTTTATAATTTTTATACCTTAGCTTAGTCTAAAAATTGATAATTTTATTAAAAGGCAATTGAGATTGGGAAAAAAGGGAAAGTGTCAAAGCATCAACAATTCAGAGTAACTTGGAACTAGGACAGAGTCTTAAGTATGGATCTTTTGCGATGAATTTCTCTAAAATTATGTCATGAATTTTTAAAGCTGTGTCACATGGCCATGTATTGCCTATTTTGTATTGCCTCTATGATTTTTAACATGGTTTACAAATTAGAATCTGTTTACCATGGTTGGCTAAATTCTTCTCAAGGATCTGTTCTGTTGTATTTCTTGACATTATACATTTATCAAGTAGATTGATTAAATTTTCCCCTTTTCCTCTTTATGTACGTAGTTGACGGACAAGGCTTGATTTATTTTGTCTATAGATTTTAAGAATCTTAAGTTTTCCATGAGAAAGACCTGGATATAGCAATGCTTAACAAAGGTATATTTGTTACTTATGTGTAACATCTAATTTATTCACTTTGATGTAGTTGTTTTTACATGAAGAATCTTTCATCAAGAATGAACTGATTGCTGGGCTCTCTTTCTATTTCATTTTATAACTACCAAAACATTTATTTTCTCATACAAATTTTACGTTCTTTAGACTCCTCTTAGTATGATTAGTGAACTTTGAGCTTCTTAATTTGCACATTTAAAAACAATCATTTGAGGAATAATTTATAAAGCCTGAAAATGAGATGGTGGACCTATAAATCATTGTCCTAAGTTCTTCTCTATCCCCCTTTTTCCTTCATTCTATATAGTTGTTTGTATTCCCTAAGCTCCTACATTTTGACATGCTCTTCCTTTTAACATGGGTATTACCATATCAATACATTTTTTCTTTATGGATTTTACAATCTCCCCCATCTCTTTGAGTTGGATCTCTTCTCAAAGGAATTCTCTTGTCATTGATATAGATTGTGGATTATGTTTTTACCTGTGTTTATGCACTTTTCTGGCATTCACATGTACTCATGTGGGAACACAATTCTCCATGCAGGCTTGTATTCTTGCATCTAACTTTCTTGTCTTCTGGTTCTTCTGGTTCTTCTTCCTTTTGCAGCCTTTGAGGAGTTAAGTCTGCAATGCGAAGTTAAGAATACCGTAGTTCATAATTTGCAAAGTTCGTGGTCAAAAGAAGCTGTGATCATTAAGGAACCCCAATTTTGCATTGCTTTGCAGAATTTACTTCTTTACTTTCCTGGTATATGTCTTTTAGAGCACTATTTATTCTAATAGTACATGAGCTTCGAAAAATATGTAAGACAGTCAAATGAAAAATGCAATATTCTCAAAGCAGTCATTTTTTTCTTAAACAACATGTATCTCAGCAGATGAAAATGGGAAGCGACTATTCCTTTCTGATAGCAATCATCATCGGATAATTATATTTGATGGAAATGGGAAGATTTTAGACTGTGTAAGAACATAAACTCATGCGTTGCAGATGTTGTTTTAAGAGCTATCTTTGGCTGGTGATTATCCTCAACTATGCAGTATTTTGATTGATAAATTTAGTATATACTGCAACAAGTAGAAATAGAAAGAAGGAAAATTGGGTACTTCCCAAAGGACCCAAACTATTTAATTTAGCAAAATGCAAAAATAAAAAGGTCTTTTGAAAAAAAAAATCAAATTGACTCTTTCCTCCTTTTTTTGGCTACTTAAATGAGCTGAAATGGGCCAGGGTTACATCATATTTGGCATATTGCTAGATCTACTATAATTGTTGAATAGTCTTCGATGGATGCCACATAAGTTTTGTGCTCTTTGTGCTAGTAATAATATCTGCCTAGGGATGTGAAATTTTGGGTTCAAAGATTTCTCTCCTTGTTATTGTTTTTTTTTGTATTTCCCCTTTTATATAAGCTGAAATAAGGGACAAAACAGTTTAGATTCAAACATAAATTGTTTATATGTCAGATTGGTTCTTGCTCAGGTTTTGAGGATTGTGAATTCGAGTCTGCAAAGCTGCTTTGCCCTGCCGCTTCCTTTTATCATGATATTGAAGATTGTCTTTATATTGTAGATTCTGAGGTATGGTCTTAGGGTCTTTACACGATTTCATATTGCAGCTTATATTTAAGGCCTTAGTTTTGGTAAAAAAAATACACTGCTTTTATATTTTATATTTTATGTTTTTTTAATTTATCTATTTATCACAATATATAATTATTTTTAAAATAAATAAATATTAAATAACATAATAATACTTAATAAATTATATTAAATATAAAATTTATTTATTTATAATAATAATTTAGAGTTATGTGGTCATTTAAAATTGATTATAGAATTAATTCATATCATTTAAAATTAATTAAGTGATCTAGGAGTGAATCAGTGAGTAATGGGTGTGAATATACTCTAGAATTATTCTATAATTTTTTTAGCATAAAAGGTGCACCTCGCCTACAAAAGGTGTATGGCTTCGCCCTGCGCCTTGTGCGTAGACTCCAGGGATCCTTTGTACCTCGGTGCGCCTAGCGCCTTTTAAAACTAAGTTTAAGGCACTAAGGTCTCAGGGTTTAAAAATCTCTGGGCTACAAGATTGGTTATGATTTTGGCAAGAAAACAAATGTAAATTTAATGCTTCTGACAAATCTCTTGATTTATATAATGTGCATCTTAGGATCTCAACATTAGGCTTCCTTTATAGATTGAAAAGTTTAGTTGAATTCTTTGTAATTATATCCTATAAGTCACTCTGAATGTTTTCACTTGCCTTCTTTTTGCTGGTCTGATGTATATAATGTCAGTGTGATATGCTAATGGAATTTCAATTGGGTTTTAATTATTAATACTTTTGGTTTGGTCCCATTTGTTAAGCATCATGCCATTAGGAGAGCTGATTTAGAAATGAGGGTTTTGAAAACAGTTTATCCAACATCTAGGAACAAGATAAGCACTAGCTTGTGGACCTGGATCAAGACCAAGCTAGGTTTTGCCAGTGGTGCTGATGTGAAATTTGAAGAGCATGATTCTCGAGCACTAATGTGTCCTTGGAATCTGATGAAGTCAGGGGATACTAGTATTTTAATTGCCAGTCGAAGGTAAATCTTCTTATTGTACTTCTATTATCAACACTTTTTCTCTAGAAATCTTACTACACCCTTTAAAGCTTCATAGTTATTAAACATATTCTTCACAGCCTTCTCTTTTTTATTTGTTTATTCATTTTTTTTAATTTATTTAGTTGCTTTTTTGTTGTTTTTAACTTCAAGGTAAGGAAAATTATCTATCTTCTTGTGCCAAGATAGCAATGCTAACAGCGCTCCAGCAATCCATGTTTTCATTGTTGTTGCCAATGTCTTCAATCAGTACGCCACATAAGTGATGCTTATGATTCTACTTAATGGTGCTTGCATCTTTGAGAATTTATGGGTTATGGATTTTGCATCAGGAGCGATTAAAGAAGCTGTCAAGGGTTCAAAGTTATTTTTCTATATATGTTCATTGTTTGTATTTTAATATCGATCAAAATTGTTTGTATTTTAATCAGCCCGAGTTCGTCTAATATTTCTTATCTCATTTCTATGAAGGACTTCCGATATTTTGGAGTTCTGCAGACATTTTGTTAAAGTGTTACTGGAACCTCATGCTGACATTTTGTTTTTTTGTTTCACATAAGTCCATGTGTTTTTTTCCGTGGGTATAAATTCATGATGTTCCTTGCCTGCTAAGAAACTAAAAAACTCCAGAAATTTCCAATAAATCTCAATTTTTTGTTCTTATATTGAGGATTTCAGGTTCATCTCTAAAATTTGGAGTTCATATAATCGTACAATTCACATCAAATCATATAATTCATATGTCTACAGAGTTGTCGTATGTTTGAATTCTTTATAGTCTCTGTGTTTTATAGTAACTTTTTTTCTTATCCGTTGAAGTGGATAACTAATGTCAAATTACGTTAAACATTATCACTTGTGTATGGATTTATTTAAAGGTAATCCCGAATTGATTACTTTCGTGCTTACAAGTTCCTAACACATTCTTGGGAAAAACACCTCCGATATTAATTAACATATTGAATTCATGAAATTAAATTAAATGATTAAATTAGAATAATTTGATTAATTAAATTACTATATAAATGAATTCAAATATAATAATTACAAGACTTTATAAATTTTTATTCAATTAATTTAATTTAGAAATGACTAATTAATATACAAGAAATGCTTTTCTCCGACTCATGACAATGCACAAAAGTTTGTCAAAATTTTGTTCCATTTTGGTGCGCAATATCAATGTTGTTTCTATGTGATGATTTTTTAAACAAAAATAATAATAATATAATCCGAATTAATAAAATTCTATGACTAGATTAATTATTTTTTGGGGTAAAGTACACAAATGGTCCTTCAATTATAAGGTACTACTTTATTAAGTCTATCGATTATTAAAAGTTATAAAATGATCTTCTGATTATAGAGTGTTTCGTGTCCCTCGACTATTAAAAGTTATAAAATTGTCACCCAACTATTCATTATGTTCCAAACTCGTCATTTTTCATTAAAATGTGTTGATATTCTGAGTTGAATGTTAACCTGCTGATTGTGAAATGATAAAATATGATCATTGAATCCCAAACGACTATTATATCCCAATTATCATGTAGATGTCCAACTTAGAAAATCTTCAATTTTTTTAACGAAAAGAATGAATTTAGAACATAATGAATAGTCAAGTGATCATTTTGTAAATTTTAATTGTCGAAGGATTTAACAAAACAATATGCTATAGTCAGAGGATCATTTTATAACTTTTAATAGTCGAGGGACTTAATAAACCAATAGCCTACCTTTTATGTACTTTACCCTTATTTTTTATACATAATTTATTTCATTTTGATGGTTTTAAATATATTAAAAAGGGTAAAATATGCATGTAGTGCCTGAACTATCAGTTTTGGTCAATTTTATTACCTAAACTTTCATTTTTTTCAAAATCACACCTAATGTTTAGTTTTGGTTTCATTTTAGTATCACACCGTTAAGAACTTAATATGTTAATACATAAACTATCATTTTTGGTCAGTTAAGAACTCAATGTTTTCAAAAATTAATGTTCAATTTTGAATAGAGGTACTAAAATGAAATAAGAACTAAACTTTAGGTATAATTTTAATAAAATCAAAAGTTTAGATACTAAAACGGATCATAATTGATAGTTTAGGTACTAACAGCGTAGTTTACCCTAAGAGGGTGTTTGGATCAAGGAACGTGAGATTCACATTGGAATGAAATCCACATCCCCATATTTGATTGGACGGGAATCTTATTCCCAGGAATGTTTTATTACCAATAGTATATTTTTTGGGATATATTACCGGGAATGTCATTACCTCCCTTTCCTTAGGTATTGTAACACTACCGGCGTTTTGGACTAAAATGCCCTTAATTTGTTTTCTTCAATAATATCATTTTTCTGCCATTGAATAATAAAAATTCTACGAATGTTAAATTACAAATTTATCCTTAAACTATTTTAGATTTACAAAAAGTTAATAATTAAAATTTTATATGAAGTTCAGGGATTAAAATAAAATTTTACCCTTTCATTAAACATTTTTTATATTTTCAATTTTTTAAAAAAATATAAATTTTTAAAGAAAATATATAAATATTTTTCAACTTGTTAAAAAAATATATATAATAAGGACAATTTGATCAAATATGTATTCCAATAATTTTTTATTATTTTAACCAAACACGGTAATCTTACATTCTTATTAAACCAACCAATCACAAAATACAATATTCTTATTAATCCTATTCTCTGATAATCTTACATTACTGCTTATAATCTTATATTCTATCGACCAAACACACTCTAAGTGTAAATCTTAAACCCTAAACCTATCAATACCCGAAATCTAAATCTCCGTCCTTCAACTCTTAACAACACTAACAATCTCTGCATTTTCAGTGTCTTCTTTTGGACTGCTCACAGGTGCCCTTCTCAAACCTCCATACCTCCATTTGTACTCTTCTTCCTCCCTTGTCAACTTTTTCTTAGTACGTAGCAAACCATAAAATTTTCTTTTCGCTTTTAGCACTGTAATTTCAAGCTCTGTTCCCATTGAAAATTTTCCCATTTTAGTTCTTTGATGCTGAATTAACAATATAATTGCAAAGTTGAATGAGTTCTGGGTATATTTTATAACCAAGTTTTAGTTCAATGTAATTCTAATTTGGGACCAATTTGTTTGGAGGGGCGGGTTAGGGTATACTGCTTTCGGTTGATGAACAACTTTGCACTTTGAAGACGATGATTCTGTCATTCGCCGGGTGCATTCTGCTTAGACTGTTTCCATATTTTTACTTTTGGATTTTCCATATTTTTAATAGATTCAGCCTTGGCTCTTAGCGCCACACTTCTTAACTTTCTTGGCTCCGCTTCTCTTCTCTTTTCTTCTGTGTTTGTTCTGTTTCCCTTTTTGTCTATCATTAAGTTTTTCATTTCTTTAAAATTAATAAGCAACAATCTCTGAGGCCAGAAACGATGCAAGCGATTACGAGACGATTTGGGCAGCAATCTCTGAGTCCAACAGCTTCCATGTCTTCTATCAAGTCCATTTACCTTCTTTCCGATCACTGTAACGTTTCCGTTCCCACTTTTTAATTTTTCGGTTTATATTTATTCCTCTTCTATTTTAATTGTTGTTGTTTAGCATTTCCATCAAATTGATGATTTTTTTCTTTCTGTTTTTTAAATCAATTTATCATCTATTTTTTTAGATTATGGAGGTGACCATCCGCTATACGGATCTACCCTGGCCTCCAACAAGGGCACGGGTCACCTCCTTCGCAAGGGCATCGGTAGTCGATCCTCCATCAAGTCATTCTTGGTATTTTAACTTTTTTTCGTTGAATGATCGATTTCAGAGTGCCAGAAATAATTTCGCCTTCTCTTGCAGTGGCATTATACTACTGATTTTGGAGCTTCTGGATTCCTTGGTCGTTTTCTTGTGCATCAGCTTGGTAATATAATCTTATGTTTTTGTTATTATTGTACACTATTTGCTGCTCAAATATTTCATGTTTTGCCCTAAAATATGCGTTTCTGAGTGCTTGTAAAAGCTAGGAAAGTGCATAAACCCAGGTAAAAACATAATCCAAAAACCATAATCATAAAAACATAAGCCACAAAGAAGAAATGTTTTGACACAAAATAGGCTAAGCTCCTACATTGACATGCACCTCCTTTCAACATGGGTATTACCATATCAAAACATTTCTTCTTTATGGCTTTTACAACCTCCCCCATCTCTTTGAGATCTCTTCTCAAAGGAATTATCATGTTATCAATATGGTTTGTGGATTATGTTTTTACATGTGTTTATGCACTTTCCTGGCATTCACATGCACACATGTGGGTGCACAATTCTCTATGTTTGCTTGTACACTTATATTTAACTTTCTTACCTTCTGGTTCTGCTTCACTTTGCAGCCTTCAAGGAGTTAAGTCCTCAATGCCAAGTTAATAATACCGCAGTTCATAATTTACAAAGTTTGTGGTCGAAAGAAGCTGAGATCATTAAGGAATCCCAGCTTTGCACTGCTTTGCGGAATTTATTTCTTTACTTTCCTGGTATAGGTCTTTTACAACACTAGTTCTTCTGATAGTACATCAGCTTCAGCAAATTTGCAAGACTGCCAAATGAAAAATGCAATATTCTTAAAGCACTCATATTTTCTTAAACAGCATGTATCTCAGCAGATGAAAGTGGGAAGCGCCTGTTCCTTTCTGATAGCAAGCATCATCGGATAATTATATTTGATGGAAATGGGAAGATTTTAGACAGTGTAAGCATTTAAACTCATAAATTGCAGAGGCTGTTTAAGAGCTATCTTTAGCTGGTGGTTATCTTCAACTATGTTGTATTTTGACTGATAAATTTAGTATATACTGCAACCAGTAGAAATAGAAAGAAGGAAAATTGGGTATTCCCCAAACTACTTAATTTAGCAAAATGCAAAAATGACAAGAATTTTTTTTAAAGAAAATAAATCAAACAGACTCTTTTCTCCTTTTTGGCTACTTAAATGATCTGAAATAGGTCAGGAATACATTTTTGGCGGATTGCTAGACCTAATATAACTGTTGAATAGTCTTCAATGGATGTTGCATAAGTTTTGTGCTCTGTGTGCTAGTAATAATTTCTGCCTAGGGTTGTGAAACTTTGGGTTCAAAGATCTGTTATATCCTTGTTATTGTTTATTTAGTATTTCCCCTTGTATATAAGCTAAAATAAGGGACAAAACAGTTTAGATTCAAGCTTAAATTTTTTATGTCAGATTGGTTCTTCCCCAGGTTTTGAGGATGGTGAATTTGAGTCTGCAAAGCTGCTTTGCCCTGCTGCTTCCTTTTATCATGATACCGAAGATTGTCTTTATATTGTAGATTCTGAGGTATGGTCTAGGGTCTTTACATGATTTCATATTGCAGCTTATATTTAAGGCACCAAGGTCTATTGCTTTAAAAATCTCTGTGCTATAAGATTGGTTATGATTTTGGCAAGAAACAAAATTTAAATTTATGCTTCTGACAATTCTCTTAATATATATAATGTGCATCTTAGGCTCTCAACATTAGGCTTCCTTTATAGATTGAACATTTGAGATGAATTCTTTGCAATTCTGTCCTACAAGTCGCTCAGAATATTTTTTTTCTTTCCTTCCTTTTGCTGGTCTGATGTAATGTCGTTGTGATACGCCAATGGAATTTTAATTAGGTTTTAATTAATATTTTTGGTTTGGTCCCATTTGTTAAGAATCATGCCATCAGGAGAGCTGATTTGGAAAGCAGGGTTTTGGAAACAATTTATCCAACATCTAGCAACAAGAGAAGCACAAGTTTGTGGACCTGGATCAGGACCAAGCTAGGTTTTTCCGGTGATGCTGATCTGAAACTTGATGAGCATGATTCCCAGGCACTAATGTGTCCTTGGCATCTGATAAACTTGGGGGATAATAATATTTTAATTACCAGTCGAAGGTAAGTCTTCTTATTGTACTTCTCTTATCAACACTTTAGGCACTTTTTTCCCTAGAATTCTTACCACGCTCCTAAAAGCTCCATGGTTGTTAAACATATTTTCACAGCCTTTTTTAAATTTGTTTATTCATTTTTTAAATTTTTTTAGTTGCTTATTTGCTGTTTTTAAAATGCATCTATCTTCTTATTGTGCTTCCGGTGGTTGTTACCAGCAATTCATGTTTTTATTGTTGCAAATGTCTTAATGGTCTTTGCAGCTTTGAGAATTTATGGGTTATGGATCTTGCATCAGGAGCAATTAAAGAATCTGTCAAAGGTTCAAAGTTATTTTTCTATATGTTCATTGTTTGTATTTTAATCCGCAGAATCCGTCTAATATTTCTTATCTTATTTTTATGAAGAACTTCCGAATACTTTGGAGTTCTGCAGACACTTTATCTCGGAGAAAGTATCCCTCTTGAAAACGATGCCTGATTATCTGTTGCAACAGCACAGTGATGCCAACTTATCGCGAGAGGAGCTCCCATATGCTGGTCTTATATCATGTGTTACAACTTTTGAAAACCACGTAATCATGTGTGACACTGGTACTTGATTTTTGTGTCTGTTTTATGTTTTGCCTCTTTAACCGGATGCATAGTGAGACTTTCAAGGATTACTCATTTTTTAATGTGCATTTCAAGTGGGTCAGGGAGTTCTGAAGTTAAATAGAGAATCTGGAATCAGTTCAAATTTCCAGTTTTCCAATCTTGGGGTGCTCGGTCTACCTTACTGGCTGTCCTTCCCTCTGGAAAGATTTATGCTCTGTGAGTATTTGGTCTTCCTAGATGTGTTTTCCCTGAGTTCCTTTGTTTTTCTCTCAATCCCCTTCGCTTTTACAATTCTTTAAGTTCTTTTTCCCCCTACATAGATGGATTCATGCCAAGCCCTTAATGTCTTGCAAGCCCTGCATAATGACAGTATTGTTCTTTTTTGTGGCAATTAAAGTGACAGCTCTTCATTCTAATTCCACTGATTTTTTTTCTCTTTTCTTGACTAATTTACAGTGCTGCAGGATTTTCTGTTGGACAAACTGATCATATTCAAGAATTTAGTTTGTTGCCAGGTAGATTACTGGCTACAATTAGTATGTTCTTTGCATTTCCGTTGTACAAATTATGTTTAGCTGCTATGATATACATTCTTTCAATGGTGCACCTACATCTCATGCCATTGTTTGATTCTTTTTTCTATGCCCAATTTTTTTTTTCTCTAACAGGTAGGGTTGACATTCGGGTAAGCATAGACATCCCCGAAGACACTGAACTTGTGGAACCTTTGCATGAAAGTTGCATATGGTGCCAAGCAAGGGGGGCTGCTACTGAGTTATCAGTGGTGGAGCGTGTGACAGGATCCTCGGAGAAGGTTTTCACCTTGCATTCCTGTGATTCCGTATGGTTAGTTGTGTGATAAGGTGCTTAATTCAGTTATTGGGTTTATACAGGTTGGTGTTGCACAACAGTGGTATGATGAACTGGACAATCTTGCCTTTGCGGCACCTGAATCAGAACTGGTAATCGAGGATGACAATGCTACTACAGATTCAAATTCTCAAGATGAGAGAATTCACATTGATTGTGAAGTTAATACAAGCCCTGGAACAAGTGAGGTGTATTCTCTCCATCTCTCTCCCTCTCTCTCTTTCCCCCTCAATGATTGGTGCCACATGTACAGCTTTTATGATCTTCAGCCTAGGTACGGCGAGACTTATTTCAGTTAACTTTCACCATACAGGTTATAATTTATGCAGCACTGTATCTAAAACTTAGAAGAAATCATGTTGTAGAAGATGACAACAATCGGGAGAAATTTGCAGCAAGGATAGCAAATATTTTGGACCCCAAGGGAAGTGGCGATTGTTGCACCAAGTTCCTGTTGAAATCTAACAGTGATTTGAGAGACCTCATTTTCATAAAACCATTGCACGTGCAAATAAAGTTGAATTCTCATAATCACCCAAAAGCTGAAAACTCAAAAGACATCATCTTAACCGACTCCTCCGTTAAAGTTGACGTCTCCTTGAACTGAAGGCATGATTGTTGATGCTGCCAATTTTTTTTTTATAGTTCCCATTGCTGTAATGATGCTCCATCTCTCTCGTTACTGTGTTTTGGCTGTAAATTTTCTCAAACTCATCTCCGTTAATTAATTCTGAATTTCTCTTTACACCATCGTAATTCACAAAATCATTACTTACAGCATTGAATTAAATTACGTTTCACAGTATCAGAAGTCATAATATCATTATGGTATTTACAGTCTCATCTCATCCGTATCCTGCCCTTGCAAGTTCACTTGTACCTTTTTCTTGTCCACCTATTTTTCGACAACTATTCTGAGATATTGTTTCTCAACATGATCATAATTCACACATATTATGAAAGGATTTTTATACAATATTTAAATTATTTATTAGTTTTCAAATAAAAATAATTTTAAACTGACAATCTCTAATTCTCTGTGGGAAGCTTATGCTATTGCTACCCAATTCTGCCCATTGGGATGTCCGTCCTGTCACGCTTGTCTTCACTTCCTAGGATGCTAATTTGATTCTGTCCAAACGCTCCGGCCTCGTCGACTATTCCCTCTCCGCTTCAAACTTTGCATACGGGTTCTGCAGTATTGTCCTTACCACCTAATATTTATCAAATGTATCACCTTGAAACGAAATGCATGCTGTCGCGGCCGTCTTTCGGGTGGGTTCTGGAATTGGGCTTCGACGTGGATTAAATGGATTGTGGTCGCCACCGATCATTTATTTTAAAACAAACGGGTTGATCGGATACCCTATTTCTTACATGATCTGCACCTTTCTAAAGATGTGTCGGATTCGGGAGTCGGTTACAGTCAAGGAAGGGTTAGCACCCTTGAACTGCCCTTTCGGTACTACGTAATTTCCAGTTGTCTTAAATTAATAAAATTAAAAGTTAAAATAAAAAGGTAACATATGATCCTGATCACTTACCTTAGATTGGATTTAAAGCGTACTCTTAAAAAAGTCGAGAAATGTATCAGACGATATGGTGATGGAGATAATTAAGATAGGAAAGATAAAATAAAGGAAACAATGGAATAAGTAAAAAGATAGATTAAAAAAGGGTAAATAAGTAAGATAAAAATAAAGGGAAGGAAAATAAAAGTAAATAGGCAATAACAAAGGAGATTAATAAAATAAAGAGCATAAGAATGATATAATGAATAAAAAGAAATAAAAATAATAAATAAAGAAATAAAATAATAAATAATAAATATACATATATGAAAATAATAACTACATATAAACGAAAAATGAAACAACAATAAAAAAAAAAATATATACATTAAATAAAATAAATAAGGGAAAAAATTGAAAAATAAAACACATATATTCGTATAAGGGACCAGATTGAAATAAAATCAAAACAGAAGGCCGAATTTGAGAATGAACTGAGTTTAAAATTGGTTTTAAGGTTCAAATTGAACCTTAAGAAACTAACGAGGACCAAAATTGTCGTTTACCCGTTTTGAAATGAAAACACGCGGGTTGAATGCGAGGGTCGAGTCGACACGCGGGTTGTATCTGGGTAGGCGGGTGTATTTAACTCAAAAAACGTTTTAAAACTTTCATTATTTTCATTCAAAAACCAAGCCCCTCTCCCCTGTTCTTCAAAACTTCTGCCTCATTCATGTGTCTTGATGAACACGATGAATGCCATCGTGCTTTCCAGATTTCGGCGGTGGCGTCGCCGCCGGTCATTGACGACGAAAATTGTGTTTTTTCTTTTTTTTTTGAAAACTTTTATGATCTAAACTTTAAAATCCAAAAAAAAATTGAAAAAAAGAAAATGCATCGGGGTAGATCTAGGTTCAAAATCTCGAAAATAATACCCCATTTCATCGGCGTTTCAAATACGAAAAGGAAAGGGAACATACCATGCATGCAAGACAAAGAACGAACGAGGTAAAACACTTTTACCTTTTTTATTTAGCTTCAAAAATTAGTACAAAAAGTTTGAACCTTCGAGTATTTCACTGTAAACTTGTATATAGTTCGTGTGGAATTTCTTGTGCAATCCCCCTATTTCGAATGCTACATGCCTATTTATAATAGAAAACGAAGCTATTTAGCTCAATAGCATCCTAATGAAACTAAAACTGCTCTGGTTGTTGTTGGTTTCTTTGACTCTGTGATGGTGCCGAGAACTCGTCGGGAAATTCGGCAAGGGAGCCGTGATGCATGTGGATTCTTCAAAGGGGAAACGGCACTGATGGGTGAGAAAGGGCTAGGGTTCTGAAACCCTAGCTTACTGGTTCGGGTCAGGTGAGAAAGGGCTAGGGTTCTGGAAACCCTAGCTTACTGGTTCGGGTGGGCACTGTAAGGCCAGTTTGGGTCGTGGACCGAGTCGCACGTTTTGGCTTCTGTTGGGCCACTTGTTTGGTTGTTTTGCTTGTAAACGGGCTAGATGTAATGGGTCTGATCCTGTAAATAAAATGAAAAAAAAAGTAGTATAATATGCTTATATTATAATATAATATAATATGTACATATTATATAATACATTACTATATACTATAATAATCACATTAAAATGTTATGGATGAAAATGTGTGTCTACAGCTGCCCCTCTTTGTCCTTTTTCGTGGAACGAAAAATAGGACAAAGATAAAAGGACACAAATTTTCGTTCGGTGGAGTTAAAAATTTGACTCTGATTTAAATGACATGATTCAGATGATGCTTCAAGAGAAAATTCTCAAAAGAGACAGAATTCGTTTCAAGGGAAACAATCTCAAAGATTATTGTTGTTTCATGAGAAACGTATAAGGTAAACAAAATTTGTTTTAAGGGAAATAAATTCAAAGATTTTGTGTTTCAAAAGAAATCGTCTCAAGGGAGACAAAATTTTTCAAGAGAAATTGTCTCGAGAGACGAAATTTGTTAAAGGAAAACAGATTAAAAGATTTTGTTTCAAGGGAAAATGTCTCAAAAGAGACAAAATTTGTTCAAGGGAAATAGATTCAAAGATTTTTGTTTCAAGGGAAACCGTCTCAAGAGAGACAAAATTTGTTTTAAAATAAACTGTCTAAGGGAGATGAAACTTGTTTTAAGGAAAACAGATTCATAGATTTTGTTTCGAGGGAAACTGTCTCAAGAGAGAAAAAATTTGTTTTAAAATAAACTGTCTCAAGGGAGAATTTTTTTAAGGAAAACAGATTCAAAGATTTTGTTTCAAGGGAAACTGTCTCAAGAGAGACAATTTGTTTTAAAAGAAATGTCTTAAGAGAGACATAATTGTTTTAAGAGAACTGTCTCGAGAGCGACAAAACTTTTTGAGTAAATTAGTCTTGAGCGAGGCGACCCCTGTTTCGAGAGAAACAATCTCAAAGGTGATCGATAATCTGATTGTTCATGCATGTTAAAGAAATCCTTTCAGAAGCTTTAATCGTTAACTTAAGGAAGTCAAATCTGCGGAGACATGTTTGTTGTGACACTAAATCACTTATCTGGCACGATATCCTTCTTCGTGAAGTTGAAATCGTGGATGGCTCATTAATTGTGAAATTGAGATTTAATTGGATGTTCTTGTTATGAAGTTCAGATCCACACTTGTAATTACATTCTTTGAGTTCAATATCTTTCGCTGAGAAGTTGAAATTGACTCTAGCATGAATCTGCAAAATTATGCACATATGCGATGCTGGATGTGATGCTCTTATGTATGCCTAAAATGTATATGCAAAATATGTTATTTTAGGGTTTATAGGAAATCGCAATCCCTGGTTGTCAGTCCTGATGACTCTTGATGCTAGAATCTTGAATTTCTAATTCTTGATCTTGGATTCTTCAATATGCTTAAAACAGAATGTTGATCTGTGAAGGGAATAATTGCGTGAGCAGTCTTCATTCTCTCAGTTTGTCTTCATTTCCACCAGGGTGTATTCTTGCAAATCTCAACCTAAGACATTTTTTTCCTTGCTCCAACAAATTTTGCCTAAAAAATTTGGCTTCTCCTGCCCCAGTTTCAATATTGAGCTTCGGAGAGATATTCGTTGATTTCCAAGACATGCTTCCAGAACTCATCTTGTTTGAAAATGCTTTTTTCTTTGAATTTCAAAATTTTGAAAAATATCAAAAGGAGTTTTGAAAATATTGCCTCATTCTAGGTTTCACAATTGAAGCAAATCATAAAACCGGAGTTCTTGAACATCAAAAGAATCAAATGCTCTTTTAATCTTGATAGCTGCAAACCTTTGACAAATATCAAGATAGAAAAGTTGGTTTAGAGGGGGGTTAAGGTTTGTTTCATCGATTCGGTCATTGTGAAGATCATGGCATACCCTTTTTATTGATTTGACATTTTGATCGGAGGTGAACAAAATGACACAACTAGAATAATCAATGGCTAGACCTTTCAGAATACGTCTATTTCAGTTCTTGAAATATTCCATTTGTTCAAGTTTTGTAAGTTCCTCTAACAAAGGTAGTGCAGAAATATCGGTCTAAAATGAGATTATTGAGGCTCGTGTGTATTTGACTATAACAGGTGTTCCTTAACTCCCTTAGTCAATTTTTACCGAAACTCCTTATTTAATTTCCATTAAATGGCTAGTTGGATCCATAAAGCCGGGCATTTTACCAATTGCTCTAGAGGGACAACTCAATATGTAAAACCTTTACCAGGTTAGTTGAATCTTATCCATAAAGTCGGGGCTTTTAATCAATTGCCTTATAGGGACAGCTCAAGCTTTATTTATAGTATAATCACCGTTATCAGACTAGCTGAATATTATCCATAAAGCTGGGAGTTTAACCAATTTCTAGAGGAACAACTCAAGCTTTATTGTATATAAAATATTATAATATGGATTACGAGAATTTCTTAAGTTTGTTAAGAAGAACCTGTTATAGTTGTGTTTTGAAGGTCAGAAAATCTCATCGTTAGAGTTCAATTCCCAAGCAACTGACCTAAAACTAGTTAGAGTTCAATTCCCAAGCAACTGACCTAAACTAGATTCACTACTTGGCCATTCCATCTGACAAGATCATGATCATCATTGAACGTCTTAAACAAAAGTATAAACCAATTAGTTTTCCATCTCATGTGCTAGTTGCCCCATTTTGTTCGCTC